CTATGATTTTATGTGATGCGGTCATTTATATGTTGATTAGTTGGGCTTTTTCATTGGGTGTTGCACTTGCACATTAGCAAGAATAAAAGTTAGACTAATTTCTTTTTTCCCCACATAACTTTTAGAGCAAATTTTACTAACATGGCTATTCCTTTAGGGTCATTTGGATACCTGAATTTTTCTATTCTGGAAAAAGTCAATCCTGGAATTGAGATTTTCTAGAAATGTCAATTTCTTGTTTAGATCGCATCCGGTAGAAATCAAGAAAATGCAAATTCCCTGTTTGGATTATTTGGAATATTTGTTTCTTGGAAATGAAAATTCTCTCTCTCTCTCTCTCTAAAAATTTTGAGATAGTTTTTCTCTTTAAAATTTTAATACACTCTCTTTCAAAAACTTAATATTTGAAATAGTTTCTCTCTCTAAAACTTTGGAGATAGTTTTTCTCTCTAAAAATTGTATATACTTTTTCCCTCTAAAATTTGATATAGTTTCTCTCTCTAAAACATAATATTTGAGATAGTTTCTCTCTATAAAAAATTTGAGATAGTTTCTTCCTAAATAATTTTAGATAGTTTCTCTCTCTAAACAATTTAAAGTAGTTTCTCTTTCTAAAATATGATATAGGTTCTCTCTCTAAAATATTAAGGTACTTTCTCGATCTAAAATTTAAAATTTAATATGGTTTCTCTCGCTAAAGTTTTAAGATAGTCTCTCACTAAACAATTTTAGGTACTTTTTCACGCTAAAATTTGATATAGTAACTCTCTCTAAATTTTAAAATGCTTTCTCTCTCTAAAACTTAAATTTTAAGATAGTTTCTCTCTCTAAAAATTTTCAAGTAGTTTCTCTCTCTAAAATTTTAATATACTTTCTCTATCTAAAACTTAAAATTTGATATAGTTTCTCTTTCTAAAATTTTTCAAATAGGTTCTCTATCTAAAAAATTTAAGTACTTTCTCTTTCCAAAATTTGATATAGTTTCTCTTCTAAAGTTTTAAGATATTTTCTCTCTCTAAAACTTAAAATTTAAAATAATTTCTCTCTCTAAAATTATCAAGTAGTTTCTCTCTCTAAAATTTTAATACCCTTTATCTCTTTAAAATTTAAAATTTGAGATAGTTTCTCTATCTAAATTTTTTAAAATAGTTTCTCTCCTTAAATATTTCAAGTGCTTTCTCTATCTAAAATTTGATATAGTTTCTCTCTAAAGTCTTAAGATATTTTCTCTCCCTGAAACTTAAAATTTAAGATAGTTTCGCTCTTTAAAAAAATTTTGGTAATTTCTCTATCTAAAATTTGGTATAGTTTCTAAATTTTAATATGCTCTCTCTCTCTCTACTAAAACTTAAAATTTGAGATATTTTCTCTCTATAAATGTTTTGAGATATTTCTCTTTAAGGAAATTTAAGTAGTTTCTCTATCTAAAATTTAAAGAGTTTCTCTCTCTAAAATTTTAAGATACTTTCTCTCCCTAAAATTTTAGATTTGAGATAGTTTCCCCCTCTAAAATTTTAATATGGTCTCCCTAAAACTTTACATTTGAGATAATTTTTCTCTCTAAAAAATTGACATCGTTTCTCTCTTTAAAAAACATTTGTATATTTTCTCTTTCTAAAAAATTGTGTATACTTTTCTCTCTTTAAAATTTGATATAGTTTCCCTCTCTAAAATTTTAATATGTTTCCTCTCTTTAAAACCTGATATAGTTTCTCTCTCTAAAATTTTAATATATTTTTTTATTTTTCAGTAGCAAAATAGATCATTTCCATGATATGTCAATTCCACATATTTTGGTGGAATTGAAATTTCCAAAATTTAAGCTTAAAATGTGTATTTAGGAATCGTACAGAAATCTCAATTCCAATAGAAATGTCAATTCTAAGCGAACCAAACACAATTGATCGAACTTTTTTGGGAAAAGTGACTCTTGAAAATCTGAATCTAATGAACCAAATTGGCCCTTAGGTTCTCCTTTGATCAAATGAATATTGGAACGCAATTAGAACATTCAACATTGATTCTTTAGGGGCCGTTTCGATACTTGGAAATATATTGTCTATGAAATATATTACGGGCCTAATACATTACTTACAAATGGATTGTTACTGTTTGGGTAGTATCTAGATGCAACTTGGGAAATACATTGTTATTGTTTGGCTATGTCTGGAAGAAATGTAAGAAATGCATTACCATCCAAATATGAAAAATATGGTTATGTTTGGCTAACATGATTAACTTTGGTTTCAACATGATAAATCGTTGGAATAATATGATTGGAATAACATGATTTTTATTGGGATAAGTCTTTTTTTTATTTGTTTTTTATAGAAGTCTTTCAAGTGTCTCTCTATATAATTGTAAATAAGCAATAAATTTATGATACCAAAATCAAAATCTTTATGGTACAAAATAAAAAATGGGAAGAAGTTTGATTAGTAAACTAGAAGGTTTGGTAATTGCAGTAGAAAAGTTTGAAGCATTGGAGGTCTCTCTCTATATAATTGCAAATAAGCAATAAATTTATGATACCAAAATCAAAATCTTCATAGTACAAAATAAAAAATGGGAAGAAGTTTGATTAGTAAACTAGAAGGTTTGGTAATTGCAGTAGAAAAGTTTGAAGCATTGGAGGAGACTAAAGAAGTATCTTATTTCAATTGAGCTTTTACTAATCTCTTATGAGAATTATGTTGTGTGAAAATTTTTATTATAATTGTGTTGTGTAATTTCTCATCGATTACCAATTATTATTTTTATCATTTTTGTTTTTATACTAGAGCTGATGGCTGGCTATAACCAAATTGGCGATATAGGTGTGTAGACATTTTTTTATTATGATTGCAGTAGAAAATTGTCCCTCATCAAGTTCTACAACTGTTTAAATCAATTTAGATTTCCCATTACTTTCACTTACCAATTATTAAAAAAATTTGTTTTTATATGAGAGTGAGATGAGGGCTACCATTGGGGATAGAGGGATGTAGAAATTTTTATTATGGTTGCAGCAGAAAATTTTCCTCCTATACCCTTTCAAATCAATTTAGATTCCCCCTTTCATATCCACTACTTTCACTTTCTACTTACCTTAATAATTACACAATACAACTTATACGTGAGAGAGAAAAATGGTTTTTCCGGTGGGGATAGGGAAGAGAGACGCAGGCCAAAAGATTTTCAAAGATTACACATCAACCTCGTAATAGATTTTTCACCCCTCACCACGCGCGTAATAGAGTTTGTCATTTTTGGAAAGATTTTGTCATTTTTGGGAAATCTCAGGTATTGTCTTTCCATTTCCTTATTATTAAAGTATACCCAAACATCGTAAATATCATATTTTCTTGTAATCTATTGTCACGTAATAGATTTCCACGTACCCAAACGGCCCTTTAAAATCTTCATTAGTTATTGCAACATAAATACAAACACTTACAAATTCATTTTTATTTATTCATTAAATACAACGTTGAAAGAGAATGTTTAGAAAGATGCAAAACTTATTTAGTGGTTATTAGGGGTAAGAATTGAACTGTGAATCTGAAACCCGGAATTTGGATCCCATTACCAAAATTATTGTTTCATGCGTGTTGGACCGCATTTTTACATATGCGGTCCATGAAGTGTAAAGCATCCATCTTAAAAATGGATACAATTAGGTGTTCCATCTAATAACAATAGAAACTAGTGGTCCAGTATTTTCTTACTTGAATTATTATTTATAGTTTTTAAAATTTATTTATTTTTTCATAATCATGATCTCCATGTTAGAGATTACATGTCCTTACAAATTAAGCCTTAAAATCGATCTCAAAAATAGATTTATGAAAAGGCCCACATTTCTACAAATGCGGGCATGGCCGCATAGAAACTGGGTCTTTTATAATATGTATGATACTTATGTAATTTTATAGAATTGTCTACAAAGAGACCATTTATCTTTTATACAAGAAGGTCGCAATTATTTCCACTCATTAGATATCAAATTTGATGGCTTGGGATAAGTCTCAAAGTTCGAGGATTTTTTTTTTTTTTTTTTAACTGTGTCTAATCAATGACACGCTTACAACCACCCATTTTGAATTCTAAAGGACAAAAATGATTGTGACCACTTTGTAAAAAAAAATAAATGGTCTCTTTGTAGGCAATCCCTAATTTTAAGAAGAGAGAAGTTTATTTGGAGCTGAGGCTCTAGACACTCAAATTAGTACCTACCTCAAAAATTTCACTAAAAAACATTGTTTTGGTGCCCAAATATCATCAAATTGATCATCTTGACATCAAGATGCATGGATATGAGAAAAAAACGAATTTTTGGACTGTCAATTTTCAAGATTTTCAAGTTCTCATAGATCTATTCGATCTACACTATTTTTGAAGCTTTAAATTTATAATTAAAGATAAAAATATATTTTAACGCTATCATAAAGATTTTTAGTATTGAAACCATATTTCTCGATACTATTTGAAGGTGGGCTCGAATTTGATTGTTTAGAGCCTCGGCTCTATACTAACCGCACCCTTTTAAAAAGCTCATGCGCTTATCTAAAAAGCTCATGCACTTATCTCTACCTCTTTCAAATTAACTACTCCTCACTGTTGATTTAGAACCCATTAGCCCTTATCTCTCAAAAAAATTGTTTCATGCGGGCTGGACCATATTCTACATGTGCAGTCTAGAAAGTATAAAGCACCGATCTTAAAGATGGATGCAAGTAGGTGTTCCATCTAAAAATAATGGAAATTAATAATCCAAAATGTTTTCCTACTAGAATGATTAATTTTAGTTTTTAAAATTTATTTGTTTTTCGTACTCATGATCTCCATGTTAGAGATCACAGATCTTAAAAAATTAAGTCTTAAAAAGATTACATGTCTTAAAAAATTAATTATTAAGATCATCTTTAGTAAGAGGCTCGGCATGGCCGCATAGAAACCAGGTCCTTAATGGGTCGTTTGCGACCTAGTATATGTAAAACCTGATTTTGCATATACTTGTTTTTGTGGGTCAGAGGCTCCTTGGCACGATCTACAGGGTCCAAAACCAGCATATGCGTATCCATAAAATGTCTCAAAATAAGCATACGCTGAGTCCAAAAAAAAAAGTTGGGAGTACACAAATACTCGTTTTTTATAAACCCAGTTCTACTCGAGATTTGCCCTGACCCCCATTTTCTTTTTATACTATGCTCTCTCTCTCCCGATCCCACCGTTTGGACTGCGATTGCTGCAGAGGTCACCGACCTTCCGCTATCCATTCCGCGTCACCATCACAACCAATCCAACCTCAGAAGGCTTTAAATCGATCCTCCACCTTCACCGCATTATTTTGGACCCCATTGTTGGCCCATTTTTTGTAGAGCCAGAAGCCTTCTTTCACCCTCTCTCTCGATTACTCTTGTATCACCAGGTATGAGAAAGATTTACTCGATTTTTTGGCTCATTTTCTTTTTTTTTGTGTAGATAGAATGAAAAATATGTCAGTGTGAGGGTTTTGATGTTGTTGGGGGTTTTCATTAAATCGAATGGGTGAGTAAAAATGGATTTATTTTTTTGTGCCTTTACCTCTGTTGGCTAGTGTTTGTTTGGGCATTTCTGTTGGACATTAATCTCCTGTAAATCTTGGCAATTTTTCCTATAAATGAGCATTTTGGGTTTTTCCTTTGTTTCCCCTTTTTCTTAGTAGAACTATTGTGTCTTCGCCTTTTCTCAACCACTCAAACAGAAAGTACAGAGAAAGACTTCATATCCATGTCCTGGATTTTAAAAAATATTGTGTTTATGCCTGCTCCCCCTAGTGTACTCGTATCCGTGTCCATATCTTTGCAGGCTAAAATAATGTATTAAAAGTTCATACATTTTATAGATTTACTATCCTGGATTTGCTGTTATTCTTTGGGTTCCGCCTAAAAAAGCAAAAAAAAAAAAGGATGCCACTTCTTATAATTTTGTAAGGCCTCTCTACAGAATGCTTGGAAAAACTTTTCTTTTTGTGCTGTTTCCTTTGGTTGTTCTTGGTTAATGAATATATAATACTTGAGAAAACGTATAAAGACATCACAATCTAGAGACATTAGAATTTCTTGAGAGTACTCATGGTTCCCAAAGTAACATCCATTTCCCGAGCCAAAAAAGTGCCAACTTAAATGGCTAGTAAACCAAAATAGTTTGCATGATATCGAAAATAAGTAAATAAAAAACAGAGCAGAGCAAGGAATTTAAAGAGACATTTCTGTTGATAAAAAAAGTGCTTAGCAATTTTTGGGGACATTAAAATATGGAAATAGGAATGCTACACACTTGAAAATCCAAGATTGATATACACAGGAATGGAATAAACATTACTAGTTTGATATGCCTAAGATTCATTGATATACGGGTAACTTGCCATGTACAGTGTACGTCACTTTTACTCTATTAGAAGAATGTGCATTACTAACTACTAAGACAAACCTGATGTTCAATAATGAATGGGATTCAAAACTGGTACGTTCACAAATATGAACGAAGTTCCTTAACTGGGCTCCAAAGCGAACACGGAATCGACTAAGAAGGATTTCTTATGTACATATGCTAAACAGAACATCTAAAAATTTCATTTACAATTACTCTAACTTTTAAAATTCTCTGTGCATAACATTAAAGTGATTAAGCAATACATGTCAATATCCAATCACCAAGGGATCTCAAAAGCATGGAATTAAACAGGGGATTAGGCTTACCTGAGATTTAGGATTTTTGTAGGGAACGAACGAAGATCCTTAACAGCAATAATAAATAAATAAAAATACAGCAATAATAAATAAATAAAAATACAACAATAAATAAAACAAAAACAATAATAAATAAATAAAAATGCAGCAACAATAAATAAATAAAATAAAAAACATGAGATAGATATCTCAATTTTCGCAGATTTTACTGGTTCTGTAGGGCATTCAAAGAGCTTCAAGAAAAGTAAAAAATCACAAAAAAAATAAAAAAAATAACAGAGAGATGAGAGAGAAATGTATGTTTTGGCGGATTTTTTTTTTCCTGCTCCCAATAACCCTAGAAAACTTCGAAAATTACCTATTTAGAGTGACTGAACTTCAACGGTGAGGTAGTGCAAAGCAATGGGGCAGAACAATAGCACAAAACAATGGCACCAGAGCAAGATGGTTTCCATAGGGAGAGAGAGATGAGAGAGAGATGGGCTTCATTAGAGAGAGAGATGGGTTAATGGGTTTACAATCTTTGATCTCGTCACAGAACTCAGAGACAGAGAACATGGAGATGCAGACAGAGAGTGAGAGAAACCCTAATTCAGTTATGGGTCGTTTGGGTACCTCGATATGTAAATTTTGGATATGCATCAAAACCTGGTTATGCAAATTCTAGCCTATGCAAAACCTAATTTTGAAAACAATATTGTTTGGCTGGCTACTGGACTAGCCCAGTATTTCAAATATGCCCTATTTGGCTCCACTACGTTGAAAACCAGGTTTTGGTTGTTTATTGTTAAACCGGTTGAGCAGTTCACTTCATGAGTTGATGATTCCACAATAACATATTGCCAATCAAAAATATTTTTTGGGAAGAAGTAATCCACTTTATGACGAACAAATTAGACAGTTATGAGTATATTTTTCTGATCATTTTAAGGTCGAATTACGAGATCAAAACTGTTGCAGCCAGCATTACTCCAGAGAGCATCTGTTTTTCTAAATAAAGATTAAAGAGAATTCGTCTATGGAATCCAATCAAACCGATACTATTTCATAATGGTAAAGCCCGCATACTACAAAGTTATTCATCTCTAGACTCCAATCAAACCAATCTTGTATCATAATGATTCCAACAAATAAGCCATTCCATTTAATAAAAATCAGCAAATATTTCTACTTCTAATCGTCCCAAAAAGAAGGAAATGCACATAAAGCATAGAAAGCCAAGAAACTAATACTACATAAAGCATCCTACAATCCATTAAGACAAATTCTGCTATCCCCACTAAAACGCAAATTATCTAACTCACTTATTGTGTTTTTCATTGTATTGTTCAATGAATATTTCAGCATTATATCTATTTAATGCTTATGGATACATCTTGATTATTTGTTTATTCTTTATTACATTGTTGCTTGTACATTGATTTATTGTTTTGCATTTTACATGGAGTGCTGACTTTACTTGTCGATCAAAGGTTACTCTTTTGGTATGTAACAATGTATCAATGGTTGTTATGTTGTTTATCTCTCCTTATTTTTGGGTACAGTTGTTTGTTTTCTGGGAGATATAAAGTTTTTCAAAATTTAAACTGATTCTTGGTTTTTGAGCTGTCTTATAGGCTAAGTTTCATCTTCTTGCAATACCCAATTGTTTCTCTTCTTTGGATCTTAGTAAGTTTTATAAAAGAAGGATGAGATTGATGAATGTGGAGAGCCATGTGCTTTGCTAGTAGAGAGCCATGAGCTTACTCTTGCACATGGGTTTTTTCTTTCTTGTTTCCATAAGTTAGTTCATATGCTTGTTGATTATTTGCACTTGATGTGCACTCACCAAACTTTGGTACAACTTAGGTGTGTTGGGGTTGTTCGCCATATGTGCTTCTTTTTGTTGTTCCTAGTTTCTAGATATCAGTTGTTTTCTGATGATTTGGCGGAATTCGATCATGACTACAAACTCATAAACTAAAACATATTTCAAAAACATATACAACATGACCCACCAATAAGATTGAGGATGTAGAGATAAGCAGGCCACCCACTCTGAGTTGCCTTGTTAGCCATTCCACAGAATTAAATCAGCTTTATTAGAGAAAGTCTACCCGGTCCTCATAAGAAGTTCACCACCATTATCTCCATTCCGTACTTTCCCTTTAATTTTCAAAATCATAGGTGTTAATTATATTCTTCATTCAAGACGTACTCTAGTTACCAATAAGTAGTCAAAGTATAATGACATAATATTGAAAGAACATGATATACTTCTCTATTTTTAAAGACAAAAAATGCATGTTTCTCAATAGAATGAAATAAAATATTAATTAAACTTACAGGAATGAACGACAAAAAAGACCAACAAATATAGGAAAGTCATGTTGATCCTTCTCGTTTAGGTATAAAAAGTGACGGTTTGAACCACTAGCATATCAGAAATCCAATTAATCCATTAGGAAATTCAACTCTCTCTCTCTCTCTCTCTCTACAGGGAGGCAGATCCCAGCGCCGCATTTCAACTCTGCCGATGTTGCCTTGAACTTCTTCAGTCTTTGATCCATGCACTGATATTAGCTCAGGTGTGCCCAAAGCTCTTTGTCTCACATCTTTGTTTCTCTCTCTAAAAATTACTCTGATTCGCAAGTTAACATTCTCAAAAAAAAAAAAAAATTACCTTGATTCCCTGTAGTGTGTTAATTGGGTTCTCCTCTATTACTTACTCCAGTCTTGCTTTGATATAAGAAATTTAGTCAGAATCAAAACCATGCCTTTGACTCTATGATCAAATGCGTAAAGGTTCATTAAATCCATCTTTCGGTAAGAATCAATGTTCAAAAAGTTGGCCGCCCGACAGCCTAGGCTGCTTTCTGTAAAAATGCCTAGGCGTTCTTAAGGCGGTTACTGCAAGGCGCCAGAACTAGGCGCCCGCCTAGGCAGTCGGGTGGCCGTAAGCGGTCGAAAAGGTGGTAAAAGGCCCGCTTAGGCGGCCTACAGGGGTATGGAGGAAATGTTTTTTGGGTGGGGGCAAAAAAAGTCATTTTACCCCCCTCAAACAAATAATATTAATTCGTAATTATTGATTTTTCGAAAATGCCTTTTGCATGTGAAAGTAATTAATTTATTGAGAACCCAAGAATGCTAATTACGAATGTGTTTTTCGTATGTAACATTAATTATTAATTTATTGAAAAATATAAGATAGTATTAATTTCTAATTACTAATTTATCGAAAATTCTTTTTGCATGTGATAGTAATTAATTTATTGGGAGTCGAAAAATAATAATTACAAAAATGTTTTTGCATGTAATAGTAATTATTAACTTATTGAGAAATAAAAAAGTATTAATTCGTAATTAATAATTTATCGAAAATGCCTTTTGCATGTGATAGTAATTAATTTATTGGGAACCTAAAAATAATAACTACGGAAATGCTTTTTGCATGTAACATTTTTTTTTTTGATAAACGTTAACTTTTGTATTGCTATAGAGAAAGAGAGCACAATTTTGGGATAATTCGAGAGTACCCTCTAGTCGGGACTCTCGGTAAAAAGAATAGGTCAACAGACCCTGTACAAAAATGGGATTATAAGATTGTCCCCTTACAAAGTTTACAGTGAGTTTACAAAAATGGGCCCCTTACAAAGTTTACAGTGAGTTTACAAAAATGGCCCCGTACAAAGTTTACAGTGAGTTTACAAAAATAGGCCCCGTACAAAGTTTACAGTGAGTTTACAAAAATGGGCCCCTTACAAAGTTTACAGTGAGTTTACAAAAATGGGCTTAAAAGGTTGCCCGTAAACAGTAAGGTGTTCTTCTAAGTAAATCCTCTGCTGTCCAGAGCAAAAAAGGACCGGGTCTGGTCTTCATCTTGGGCCCTAGCCCCGTCCTTCGCTCGTCCTCGAGGTATGCATTCGAAAGATGACCATATCCCTGCAGTTGTATACAATCTCATCATAAATCGGTGCAAGATACCAAGGAGGGGCAGATCTTCTGGTTACCGAAGTAATGATGTTTAAAGCATCACCCTCCACTATTAGGTTTTGCCCCCAAGATCGAGCGAAGCTTAGCAGGCTTGAAAAGGTGTTGGTTAGACACCCAGAAGGTTACTGAGGATGTAACCTTGTGAAAGAGGGTTGGGACCAGGCAGACCTGTCGTTGAAAAATTATGGCATTTCTTTCTGTCCAGATCACCCAAATGGTTGCTGCCACTGCAGCCTTCCATTGGATTTTTCCCGCCTTCGGCCATTGAAGCATAATCTGAAGCTATTAGGTCTTTGACCATCAGTGGTGTTACCCAATAAACACCAAACAGTTGTAGCAAAAGGCTCCAGAGATCGTGGGCAAGGTTACAATGGATGAAAAGGTGGGGATTGGATTTCTCTTAACACAAACACATGATGCATCTGTTGGGGATTGGGATCCCTTTCTTTTGTAGGTGATCGACTGTAAGTGCCTTTTGGGAACACGCTATCCAATTGAATGTTTGCACCTTGGGAGGTGCTATAGTATGCCAAGCCTGAGAAAGAACCGATGGGGGATTAAGTGGGAAAGTGGGAGGTTGGATGAGTTTCTTGTAGAAAGCGGCCACTAAGAAGACCCTTGAAGGAGCGAGGGACCATACCAGCTGATCCCTTCCTTGTGTAGGGAGGAAAGAACGGCGAGAGAAAGTGGTTTGTTTCCTCCTCGGAGAAGTTTCTTCTGAATGAGGGATTCCACAGTCTTCGACCTCCCTCTGGCACCATTTCCTCCTCTATTGTAGCATCTCTGTTCACTGCGATAGAGTTAAGGGATGGAAAGAGGTCCCTCAATGGTGCGTGTCCAAGCTAGAGATCTGACCAAAAGCGCACTCTTGTTCCTTCTCTTGGATGAAGCTTGATGTATTTTTTGAACAACGCGAGAGAGGAGGTGAAAGTTTTCCATGCTTTTTGCATGTAACATTAATTATTAATTTATTGAAAAATAAAAAAATGAGTATTAATACTTAATTACTAATTTATCAAAAATGCCTTTTGCATGTGATAGTAATTAATTTAGTAGGAATCCAAAAATAATAACTACGAAAATGCTTTTTGCATGTAATAATAATTATTAAATTATTGAGAAACCAAAAAAATAGTATTAATTCATAATTACTAATTTATCGAAAATGCCTTTTGCTTGTGATAGTAATTTATTTATTGGGAACCCAAAAATAATAACTACGAAAATGCTCTTTACATGTAACATTAATTATCAATTTATTGGGAAACCAAAAAAATAGTATTAATTGGTAATTACTAATTTATTGAAAATGCCTTTTGCATGTGATAATAATTAATTTATTGGGAACCCAAAAATAATAACTACGAAATTCTTTTTGCATGTAACATTAATTATTAATTTTAATATTCTCAAAAAAACATTAATTATTAATTTATTGGTAAACCAAGAAAATAATATTAATGCATAATTATGATTATATATTATATACAATAAATGGGGGGAGGTGTGGGGGATCCAGCTTTAAAAAGAAAAATCATCGGCTGCTTTTTGGGTTTGGGTGCCCGCCTTAGCGCCTAGGTGGCCCAGCCCCCCGACCACCTTGGCAGCCGCCTCCATCTTATTGAACATTAAGAATCATGTGCTGTTTCAACCATTTTTTTGTGGTTAAATGCGATTTTGTTATTACCATGCTCCATTTTTCTGCTTTTTTTATTAGTTTCTCTTGACTTGTATTTGAAGTTGTGATGAATGCTTGCCCTAATAGAAACTTATCCTTGTTTTCTTCTGTGTTATTGAATGTCATGTAAAAGAAATTCAGTGGTTTTTCCCCAATTTTTCTGTTTTAACAAACTTTTTTGAGAAATACTTGTAAAACTTCCCATGTTTTCAAATGAGCATTGAGACGTATAGGAGTAGTTACTTAATCTTTATGAATCTGTGTTTCAAAGCCTCCGGGATGAAGTCTTATTGAACTATTTCAACACATTATTACATCTTAGTTCCATTTCATTTTCTTTCACGGTGGCCCTCTTTCCAGTAATATATACTTCTTTGCTTTTGCAACTGCTAATGCATTATTCACCATTTTTTCCATCCATTTATTTACATTGCAAGCACTACTCGTCGTAATAAATATGGTCATTGTGATTCACTTTTTAACAAGAGACAATCTAATTATCTATGCCAAAATAGTCTAGGCATGAAACTGCCCATATTGTCATTAGGGGTATTTCGGTTTTCATCGGAATAAATGTGCGATGGAAACGCACATTCATGTATAACAGAGATGATGTATGTATGGTGTTGTACTTAAATAATTTAAATTTTGAAGTCTATATTATATTTTTCTATGAAATTCCGGTTCCCCTACCATTTTTGTTGTTTTGAAATGTGAAGCAACCATGTTTTCTTTCTTCAATTCATGGATAACTTGGGCTTTGCTCCTGTTGAACAAGTGTTAATAAGTTTCCTTTGTAAAAGGTTGGAAGCAAAGTGAAGAGGAATTGCTGTCATGTGAAGATTTTTACAACATATTGTGTATTTGTTGGAAAACCAATGTATGATGAAATTTTATGATTTGTTGCATGTTAATATTTAATGAAATAGATGATAGTTTTAATTATCCATTATATATGATCATGTTCCTAATGGATTAATTGGTTTTTTTGATATTCTAGTGGTTCATATTGTTTATACCTAAAAGAGAAGGATCAACCTGACTTTCACATATTTGTTGGTCTTTTTTGTCATTCATTCCAGTAAGTTTAATTGATATTTAAATTCATTCTATTGAGAGACATGCATTTTTTGCCTATAGAAATACAAAAGTATATCATGTTCTTCCAATATTATGTCATTATACTTTCACTACTTATTGGTATCTAGAATACCACTTGAATGAAGATTATAATTAACACTTATGATTTTGAAAATTGAAGGGAAAGTACGGAATGGAGACAGTGGTGGTGAACTTCTTATGAGAATTGGGTAGACTTTCTTTAGTAAAGTTGATTTAATTCTGTGGAATGGCTAGCAAGGCAACTCAAAGTGGGTGGCCTGTTTATCTCTACATCCCCAATCTTATTGGTGGGTTATGTTATATATGTTTTTGAAATTTGTTTTAGTTTAATAAACAATGTCACTTGATTCACACCAAGAAATCTCAGAGGACAATATGTGAATACAGGATATGCAAGAATAGTTGCGAACTCTGTTGCATTTGGGTATTGCTTTTCTGACAAGAAGATCTTCACTATTCTTTATATTGTCAGGTGAAACCTTTTGAACTAGTTGAATATCATATGATTGTGATTTAAGTAGAAATCAATATGCCAATTGATCAAGCCTATGTGTTATCAGTTTTGTGTGTGATGAGCTAGATGGCCGGTTTGCTCGCATGTTCAATCAAGGTACGGATCAAAGTGACAAGCTCTTTTTGTATGTTTTCTCTTTCTGTTTTGATTGCCATGCATCATCCTACGAACTTCTATTAATCGTATATAATTTCTAAGACTCATGAATCATCATTGCTGCATAGCCGACCCCAGATAGTTGGGGTAAGGCTTTGACGAGAATGATGATGATTCATGATCTCTACATTTATTTGGATATTTTAGTCTGCATACCTTTGGATGCTTTACTATTACTCAAAATGTAACTTTTGGAAATAATCCTAGAGGAAATGTGTTATGCTATCTGTTTAGTATCCCATCATTTATCTTTAAATGAATAAATGTCATATTGTAAATAATTATGTGTCATAGGCTTGGAGTTATAGCATGGTATTTTATGTACAAAAGCCTTATACTTCTATAATTTGAAGAGTTATTCAATTTTTCTCTAATTTAGGGCATTCGTGTTTCGGCTTAAATCTCTGTTTAGAGTGTTTGTTCATGTAGAGAGCTTTCCACCCCATGAGAAAGCCGCTTTCTCACCACAGTGCATCAAAATACATAAGCGCCCCTTTGGGTGCTGAAACACGCTTTCCAACACACTGCCCTTTTCCATGAAACAAACATGGGAAAGTGGTAGTTCAGCAGGAAAGAACTTTCTTGGAGTGTTCTTTCCTGCAAAACAAATGTACCCTTAAGGAAAATGTGAAGCAATGATGCTAAGAAAGGCGTGGGAACCTTTGAGGCTCGGGAACCTTTGCAGAAATGCATATTGTTGCACTGGACTGGATAACCATAAGGTCCGAGGAAAGTGTAGCAGCTAATGGCGTGTGGGAAATACTAAAGGCATAAGCTATAAGCTTAAGGGATTATCACCAATCGCTCGAGCTCCTCCAAGTATTTGAGAAACTTATTGGAGAAATCTTCTCCTTTGTTTGTCTCCTCTCTCCTTTCTGTACTCTGACCACCCAGTTTGTGGGCTGCCTCTATCTAAACTAAATTTAATGTATCTTGCTTCTTTTATAAAGTTAACCATTTCTCAAAAAAAAAAAATCTTATATTTTCCTTGCACCCTTTTAGAAACTCAAAGTTTGTTCAGTCAGATACTTGAAATGGGTTAGTTTAGTGGGGGAAATTAATTATGTTATGAGAACCTCAAAATGTTATTTCTGCAAACAGTTTCCTTGAAGTGCGTTTTATGAAATTTTGTAGAGAAATAAAGGTATGTCTATTATTTTACTAGTATGGGGTTTCTTGAGTTTTTTCTAGAATATGAGAGATACCCTCCAAAATATCGTCCGGAGGATTCCTTGTGGATTCTTCAATATTAAAAGTAAAGATAAGATAAATTGGATCCATTGAGGAGAGGGATGGAGGATATATTGAAGTTATTTACTTAAGAAATCAGGAATTGGTGAAATCAGGAATTGGTGTAAAATAAAAAAATTCTAGGCTGCTAACTTTGGTAGTGAGTCACATAATTTCATGAAGAATGCAAATTGTAGAAGAGTTACGTGGAGATAACTTTATTTTTGGATCCTTTTTTTTTAATAGGGTCCTCCACGGTGAATACTTGACCCTTTTGTAGAAAATATCCCTTTCTCTTAATTGGTTGTGCTATTTATATGCGTATGGACAAAAAAAAAAAATCAGCTTTATGTTTTCATATCAATGTTTCAAAAAATGCTGGGACATGCCTAGGCGGCTGGGGGGGGGGAGGGAGCTGGCAGGCCAGTGCCTAGTCGGCCTCCCAGAACCTGGGTGGCAGAAAAATAAGAAAATAAGTAAATAAGAAAAAGAGTAGGTAGTAGATAGTCCATAATCTATATCTCCATACAATGCTAGAACCATACAAGCATACACACAAGAGTTAGATAGTAGAAACTAGAAAAAAAGAAAAAGAAAGTATACAGTCTAAGACTCAACACCTAGAGTCAAGCGTCTTCAGTCATCATCATCAAAAGGAGTAGGGTAAGCTTCATCATACGCATCAGATTCGAGGCTATCATCATTAGAGTCATCTCCCTCTTCAACATAACACTCGTCCTTGTCTATTTCTTCTGAATTTGCCTCTTCCTCCTCTTCTTCTATCCCTCTCTTACTTTGTGCAGATGAGGCCCTAGGAGTCTTGGCTGCTCTACCTGGTGCCTCTTTACCATTTTTTTGCTTTTGGTGCTTTACAGAACTCAAATATTGTATAATCTCCTCCCTGGTAGCCTCAAGAACATTTTTGCACGGGTCAACATCCACCTTAATACCAGCAAGGTGTTTCTTGAGCTGGTAAATACCCCCATTAGTATCCTTTCCACAATAATTACACCTCAAGAACCTTTTTACAAGAAGCAACATTCCCTTTAATATCAGCTACGTGTTTCTTGAATCAGTTAATGCTTCCATTGGTACCTTTTTCATAAAAATTACACCTTATACAATTTTTATACTTTGGTTTAGTGTTATAACTATACTTCATCACTTATTCCAGCAGAACCAGAAATAGACCTATCCAAATGACAAGGAATTTGTTCCTGTTTATATTTTACTAAACTTATATATTGCTTAATCTCCTCTCTGATAGCTTCGGGAGCATTTTTACAAGGGGTAACATTCCCACTAATACCGGCAAGATGTTTCTTAAACTGGTTTATGCCCCATTTGTATCATTTTCACAATAATTTCATCTTATGTAATTTTTATCCAAAGGATTCAGATTATAACCATATTTCCAACCTGGATCACCACGTTGACTAGATCCTGAAGAAGACATTTCAAAATAATATAAGCAATCTAAAAAATTGCTCGATCCCTAAATTTCCACATCTGAGATGCTTTCTAGTGCTAAAATATTCCAAAACACCGTCTAATAGGCCTAAAATACTCCAAAACTAAATCTAATATCAATGGGTGATGTTTGAATCTATTTCTCATAACTTTGAGAAACCCTTCGATCCTATGAAAAACACAAATCTAGTTTTTTGTTGGGCTCTAATGGGGTTTAAGTTTCAAATGAACCTAAAAAACACATTTAAACCCTTTTCTTTCTCAAAAAAAACCCAAAATACCGCTCAACAAGGGGCATTTCTGCCCCTAGATGGGGCGCATGTGCTGGGCAACAGCCCAGGCTAGGTGCTGGGCATCCCATATCGCCTAGGCGGTCGCCCAGGGGCAGATTGCCTCGGCCTGGGCAAGGTGCCCATGCCCTTTGCACTGCCTAGGCACTGGCGATCCGCCTTTTGGAACATAGGTTTTCATATTTGATTTCAAATATAAAAATATATACTTCTGTAAAATCATAGTTCTTGGTAAACGTTGTAGATTGCTCAACATATACTGATATTTCAATAGTTTTCACATTCAGGTCACCCTAAGCAAAAAAAATCAAATGAACAACTTGTCGGACAACATGAATTATGTGCCTATCATATACATTCGATTAAAGCAAGGGCTATGCACATCTTACAATACGATGCAGTCTGAATGTTATGTCCTTATGTTCTACATAGACAAAAGAGAAATGTACAAGTACAAAGACAACATCTACTCCATGTTGATAGACGTATACTTTTCCTGAAACCTAATGGGTTGCTTAGCATCAGTTTGCTAATGAAACTTAGAAGATAAATGTGGAGATAAGTTTCCAATAGTGGATTTTCTATGAGAAAGCGACATGTACCTCAATATGCTTTGTGGGCTTGTGTACTACAGGATCGGATGCAATCTGAATCGGTGTTGATACATTGAAAAGATTATGGGTATGGGAGAGGGAAAAAAATTCAAATGGCGATGTAAACGATATAGCCCCTTAAATCAAGGGGAAATATCATTAATGATATATAGTAAAGTTTGACTATCTGTCATTTTCATTCTCTATATCAGCTTAATAGGTGACAAGAGCCTGCCATCTATTTCTAGACAATCTCATAGTGCTGATTTGATGATTGGTGTTGGAGATAAGTATCTTGCCTTATTAGTGATCTCGTAGAGTCTAATGAACCTAAAACCCTCCTTTACACCCTTTTTTACCCCCGAAAAACCCAAAAATGTCCCTCAACAAGGGGCATTTCTGCTCTTGGGTGGGGCGTAGGCCCTGGGTGGCCACCTAGGGGTAGGGGCTGGGCGCCTGCCTAGGCGGTTGCCCTATCGCCTAGGTGGCTGCCCAAGGGCAGATCGCCTATTTTGGTCGCCTATGTCTGGGCGACGCACCCATGCCCTTTGGACCGCCTAGCGCTGGGTGGTCTACCTTTTGGAACAATGGTTTTCATATTTGATTTCAAATATACCAATATATACTTCTGTAAAATCATAGTTCTTGGTAAACCTTGTAGATTGCTCAACATATGTTGATATTTGAATAGTTTGCACACTCAGGTCACACACTAAGCAAAATAATCTAAGAAACAACTTGTTGGACTACATGAATTATGTGCCTATCATTTACATCGATTAAAGCGAGGGCTATGTACATCTTACAGTAGGATGCGGTCAGACTGTTATGTCCTTATGTTCTACATAGACAAAAGAGAAATGTAAAATTGCAAAGACAGCAACTTTTACATGCTGAGAGATAGACACTTTTCCTGAAACCTAATGCGGTGGTTAGCATCAGTTTGCTAATGGAGCTCAGAAGATAAATGTGGAGATAAGTTTCCAATAGTGGATTTTCTATGATAAAGCGACATCTACCTCAATATGCTTTGTGGGCTTGTGTATTATAGGATCTGATGCGATCTGAATCGGTGCTGATATTGTCCATGCAAAGGATTATGGGTATGGGAGAGGGAAAACAATCCAAATGGCTATGTAAAATTGTAAACCATATAGCCCTTGAATCAGGTGGAAATATCATTAATGATATGCAGTGCATCTGGTCATGTGTCTCACATGGAACCAAGTACACAAAGGTTGGCTATCTTGTTATTTTCATTCTCTATATCATCCTAACAGGTTGCAAGAGCTTGCCATCATAGTGCTGATTTGGTGATTGGTGTTGGAGATCGAGTATTTTACCTTATTAGTTGATCTCATAGAGTCTAATGAACCTAAAACCCACCTTTAAACCATTTTGTTTTCAGAAAAAAGCCCAAAATTTCCCTCAACAAGGGGCATTTCTGCCTCTGGATGGGGCATTAGCCTTGGGCGGCCACCCAGGGCTAGGCACTGGGCGACCTAGGTGGTTGCCCTATTGCCTAGGTGGCTGCCTAGAGGCAGACTGCCTATTTTGGCCTCGCAGGCTTGGGTGAGGCGCCCGAGCCCTCTGGACTGCCTAGGCCCTGGCCAATCTGCCTTTTGGAACAATGGTTTTCATGTTTGATTTCAATTATAACAATATATACTTCTATAAAATCATAGTTCTTGGTAAACCTTGTAAATTGCTCAGCATATGTTGATATTTCAATAGTTTGCACGCTCAGGTCACATTAAGCAAAAAAAATAAGTGTTGGACTACATGAATTATGTGCCGTTCATTTACATCGATTAAAGCGAGGGCTATGCTCATCTTACAGTACGATGCAGTCTGACTGTTATGTCCTTATGTTCTACATATACCAAAGGGAAAGGTAAAATTGCAAAAAGCGTCTATGTCACACCCCAAGAATTTACAATACTGTTATTCCTGAGATGTGACAGACAAAACATATA